ACAGACAGGCCCCGGAGCTTCTGGGGGAGGTGGGGTCACAGCACAGGCAAGTAACCAGCAGTGCGCATGCGCAGAACCACAGCCGGTTGCTGGCCCGCGCACAGGCGGTGAGACGCCGTGGGGAGCCTCTGAAGGTGACAGGTATGGGACGCATGGCGTGGGTACCCTTGCCTGCAGGGTCTCAGCTTTCCCTGTGCCCTCCAGCCCGTCACCCACAGCCCCTGTGGACCCACCTGTCTCCCGGAGGGCCGGCTGCCCTGGCGCTGCTGGGGGCGGGTCCATGGCCCAGTGCAGCTGCCGGCAGAAGTCCTGGCGGTCGTCCACGTGGATGTAGTCAAACACGTTCTGATGCATCACATCTGTCTGAGACACGCAGCAGGGTCATTTCAGCCTCGCCCTAATGAACGTGCACGCCGTGTCCCAAGCATCAGTACCCACCAGATGCCACGTCCACCGGTCAAGAGCAAGTCACAGCCAGGAAGAGAAAACATGCCCTCTGGAAGGACGTACCTGCTGCAGAGCCAGGGAGGGCAGCACGTGCTACTGAGGACCCTGCCTCCAGCGACTCGCCCAGGCTCCGTCCACCTGGCTGGGTCTCAGGCAGGGATAACTGGGGACAGCAGGATGCTCAGAGATGGAGTCTCCTCAGACCACAGGCACTTTGGGGCTGACATGCAGTCCGCCAGCAAGGAGCACGGCCAGTGTAGACCAGCTCCAGGTGCGTCCACCTGCAAACCTTACTTAACTGCCATTTTCCAAGCCCACCTCCTCTGGAGACTTCCTCTAGTAGCTGAGGCCCTGCGCCTGTCACAGATGACAGACTGTGGCCCAAGGGCAAGCTTGCTTCAGTGACAACCTTCCAGGACCCATCCGTGTTTCCAACTAACTTCCTCAAGGAGTCTCTGGGTGGTACAGAAGGTTAAGGGCTTGACGACTAACCTACAGGTTGGCGGTTTGAGTTCACCTAGAGGCACCTAGGAAGACGGGCCTGAGAATTGCTTCTGAAAGGCACAGCCTTGAAAACTCTGCGGAGCGGAGCCGTTCTGCTCTGTGCACGTGGGGTCGCGATGAGTTGGAACTGACTTGACGGTGATGACAGCCTCCTCAAAGCCCCTTATAGAACGAGACCACTGTCTTTTTCAAACTGAAGTCCTTGGCACCTCCTCTTGGGCGCCAGGCTTCTTGGCTGCAGCAGCTGTTTACTCTCACATAAAACCTTCATTAAAAATTTTGTAACGCAACTCTAGAATCCATCATTTAACAATACCCGTCATCTGCCACTCCAAGGCTTGGGCTTCCGTGCTCTTAATGGGCTGGAATGTCGTCTCCAGATGCCCTGATCATCCCCTCATGTGCCTTAGTCAACCAGTGAGACTGACGTGGATTAATATCCAATGTGGGCTGTGGTTTAACTAGAAAAGGAGATAGGCTGACTTGGAGAGGGTCCCATAAAACCAGAAAGGACGTTTCTGATTACGAAAAATCTGAAGACAGAGTGAAATGGCATTTTTTAGCTCGAAGGAACAAACTTCTGTACCTTCATAACTAGTGTGGCTGATCAACTACTCGTAGTCTTTCCTGGTCTCCCAGATTCGGATTTTTCTGATGTCAAGAACAGTTAACGGTGGAAGAAATGCAAGAAAGAGGGGAGGGAATAACATAACAATTGTTCTAATAATAGAAAAATACACATCGCTTCACTCAGGGAAAGGTCGTTTTTAACTTTCAAGCATTGCTGTTGTTTGGTGCCATGCAGTCGGTTCCAAGTGACAGCAGCTCTGTGCACCAGGGAACAAAGCACCGCCTGGTCCGGCACCGGCCTCAGTGTTGCCACGCCTAAGCCCATCATTGCAGCCACTGGGTCAATCCATGCCGCTGAGGGTCTTGCTCTCGTTCCCTGACCCTCTACTTTACCAAGCATAATGTCCTTCTCCAGGGGCTCGTCCCTCCTGATAACGTCCAAAGACACGAGACAAAGTCTTGCTGTC